ATTACGCGCTAAACTCGGCGTGTAGCAAACAAAATTTGTGAGGAAGTAACAACAACAACAACAACGAAAAACAAATGCTAAAAACAATAATGTTTGCAATCTCAAACTAAATATCATTGACGCTTATCAGCAACGACGGACGCGACTTCGGCTTCGACTTCGACGCACGACAACACATCGAGAGATAAAAGCGGACGCTAACATCGAATTGCTGATGATGTCAACAAACCGAAATCGAAAAACCACAGATAGGTGTTGAGTTGAAATTTCCCGAAGATTAAATGCCCTAGCCAAACTATTTAGGAGTGATATGTGAGGGGGAAATACATTAAATATTTTGTTTAATTTCTTTACTAAAAATTTGCACTGTTTTTATTAAAAAGATGGTGTTTCTATTTATAAAGAAATTACATTTCCAATCAAATTAAAATGTAACACGATCTTTCGAAAATACAGCATTCTTTTAGGGTTCTCTTTGGGGTTTCTCTGATAATGCCAGGCTTAAAGAAATGTATTAATTGTTTAAAGAGGAAAATTAATGCCAATGAATGTGAACTTACAATTTTATTAGAATTTACCCAAGTGTTTAAATATTGTCATACATAACTGGTCTGGTACTTCATCTGTGTACACTAGTTGCCTTCTTTTCTACTTCACTCTCCCTATTGATGAGTTCTCTATAGTTTTGTGCACTTCTAATATAACTTTTAAAATCACTTATGCATGCCTTTTAATCTGAATAATCTGAATAGAAAACACTAAAAGATCAAGCTTTAACGAAGTAAAAGTAAAATGCTGTCAATACTTATAATATTCCCAATTCGTTTAGTCTTTCAATTCCAACAATAATAAACTAGTTATGTTTATTAAAATATTCGTTCTATTTTAAAAGTAATTTGCTTAATTACGCAGAACTCATGCAAATTGAAATGCTATCAAATTATGAGAAACCACTTAGAAATGAAAATAGATAGACAAAAATACATGTCAGACAAAATGTCTAGGTCGAGGCTGCCTTATCAGAGAAGGTCTTTCTTATCTATTCAGGCGCTAGAAAACTACCAAAAATGTAGGAAACAAAATCTAAATATGCCCTTAGAATTGTCGACAACTTCAAGATGAACACATCACTGTAATAAGATTGTGTTTAATTAAGATTCTTCAGCTGGAAAATTGCTTAAATTAAATGCTTTAGAGATCGTAATTAATTTTAATTTGTCAGCATATACTTTACGGGACATTATGTTGGCTTACTGCACGTTTAGAGAGCTCATTTGGGCTTAGCTTGTCAGGAAGTTCTTATTTGTATATAACTCTTTGTAGAAACTTTTAAGAAAAAAGGGGTTAGATCACATTTTAATTAGTTTTGGAAACTGTTGTTTGACAAATAATTGTGTTGCCAAAAAGTATAAGATTTGAGAATAAATATTAGGTAAGGCACTGGGAGAAGGAAATATATTTACATCATTGTTTGTTTTTGTAGTTTTAGTATAGCTGCTCTATAAAGATTAAACATCTTATGTGTCTTTCTAAAAAGCAAGACCGTTTTGAAAGGTCGCTGTTGCCAACTGATTTGAAAATCTCACAAAAAGCGCCACTAGACCTTTTGATAACAGCCATCATAAAGGGATTACTAAATGCCTACATCGCTGTTTTGATTGATAGCACGATTGAAAGCCGCATAGTCTTTGGAAACAACGTGTCTTACACGCTTCCAGCCACTCACTTAGCCTTGTCTAGGGCAACACACAGAGGTCGACAGACACGTAAAGACGTCACATTTGATGTGTTATTGTTATTTACTCATTCATTCACAAAAACCATATAATATTCTTGGGAAATGTTTATGATTAAGCTGCGAGAGACGAATGCGCGTCATTCATTCACAACAATCTGTTAAATAATTGGATTTGAGTGGCAAAGCCTGCTTGTTCGTTTCATTTATTTAACGACTATTTACACGCAATGGGTAAGCGTATTTAACATCCAAATGTTCGTCACAAAGAAACAAACAGACGTTTGCCAATATTGGCACAATTGGCCACAAGTGATGGCTATGAGGATGAGGAGGGGGGAAGGGGGGAATGACAAAGCAGTTAGTGGGTTGGCAAACATAATGTTTATAAACAAAATCGAAAAAGGTGTGAGGCAATCACTAAAATAATGCATCCAACAGATATGGAAAGTTAGTTTGCAACATCAACCCGCAACAACAACCGCAACAACAGCAATTGTAGCAACAACAATACCAACAGCAACAACAATACAATAGTCTTTACAATTTAAATAATAGAAAACCAAATACAATTAGGCAGTCGCTCGAAAACAACAAACTGACTCGCCTGACTCGTCAAAATTCAGCGCGCGAATTTCTGCTGGCGGTTATGCAAAGAAATAACAACAATCACTACAACAACAACAACAACAACAACAGCAACGGCAATTACAATTACAACTACAAGCAAACATTTAAAGAAACAAATCACGTCTCTTGAAATTTCACCAGCAAAGGAAAAGTAGAAGCTATAGAGCAAAAAAAACCCAACTTTATAGACGACCGAGAAAAATTCCCACACACTCCGCGCCTCGCCTCGCCTCGCCATGAAAATCAAACACTATCCGGGCAAGGCGGTGGACGCGAGTCTCTCGCTGGACACCGGCAATGCCATGGGAGCGCTCTACGAAGCCAATTGGCTGCAGGCGCATCATCAGCACCAGGAGGGCTCTGTGAGGGGCACGGTGAGGAGCACAGTGGGGCCGCTGCCCAAGTTGTCGCGTCAGCCGAGCAGCGGCGGCAGCTTTCTGCTCGACGGCGTCTCCGTGCTCAGCAAATATCAGATGACCCTCGAGGGTATACGCCAGCTGGAGCAGCAGTCGCGAGACAGACGCATCGTGCATGCGATCAAGGAGCTGAATGGCTACAGACCCTCGGCCCTGCAGCATCAGCCGCCGCCACTGCACAACGGCTGGATAGACGAGAGCGCCGAGCATTTGGAGGAGAAGGCCAAATCTAAGTCGACAGGCCCCCCGGCATCCACACCCACGGTCAATCACTATGTGCTGGATCCCACGGAGCGACTGCGTCAGCCGCGTCCGCGCCAACAGCTGTCGATAAAGCCGCCCTCCCTGCGACGCTCCCAGACCATGTTGCAGCCCTCCACCTGCACCAGCTTGGATGGCAGACGCAAGCCCCGAGCCATCGCCACCCTCGCCTTTGGCACTGTGCGCGCCTCCAAGGCGCCCAACCACAGCAACAGTTCCTCGGCCTATTCCACATTCTCGTCCGCCGCCGAGCTGGATGATCACGAGCAGCCCGTCATTTCCACGCAGCCGCAACGCTTGCTCCCCCCCTTGCCGCCACCCCTGGAACCACCGCCCCCTGTCAATCCCATTCCCTTGCCCGCCCCACGCACCAAACCCAAGCCCCTCAGTCGCTCGCATACGACTGTGCAACGTTATGCCACCATTCGAGTGCCCAACACCAGGGCTAGACCGCCGCCACCACCCCCACCCCTGCGGATATCAACGCTGCCAGCGCAGCCAGCAGCGCAGCGACGCCACAGCTTGGAGCAGGCCCTACGGGGTCTACAATTGCAACAACAACAAACACAGGAACACCCTGCAAACAAATCGAATTCCAACTCGAACAGCAGTCTGGACAGCAGGCCCGACACATCGAAAGATCTCAATGGTTCGTCAGGCGATAAGCGAGAGGGTTTCTGCATACCCCGACCTCGTCTCATTGTCCCTGTCCACACCTATGCGCGACGTCGACGCACAGGAAACCTGAAGGAGCAGCCATGTGATAGGACCAATGAGAATCCAGAAAGTGGTAAGGGGGCTGCTATTATACGGGTGTTAGTTCCCAAAAGGAAGCGCCCAAAAAATGTAATTTTATTAAAATTGAAATGCAAGAAACTAGATAAGTAAGTTCCCTAAATCTCAAAAAATCTCTTTATATAGGAAGACTCTTTCGAGAACGTTTCCATTTCGACAAAATAACTACATTTTGTGGAATTATTATTTAAGCCGAAAATATATATTCACATTTTTTGATGTAACAAAATCCCCTCAGGAATCAAAACAGAGCTTATATTTTTTAAAACACTTTGGTTCGATGCTTCGTTCTTATGCTCCGACGTTAGACTTTTAACATCATTTATAAATATTTTCAGTTACTGGGGTATATTTTTCTGGGGTATACTTGTAGTTTTCTTTTTCGTACTGTGCTATTAAGAAATATAGATTTGCCTAACGATCTTGTTTCCTTTTTAAATATAACTCTGTTTGCATTTTATTTGATGGTTATATAAGGATTTCAAAACTTCAGATGAAATTGTAAACATTAAAGATCTCTTTCAGTAATTTGTTATTAAATAGAGAGTTCGAATAGCGATCCCAAATAAATATTCCACCTAGAGCTTAAGAAAGGCTTCTGTTCCGTCAAATATTTTCCAGCTTATTTCAAAACTTCTGCTGAAACTGAAATGAATAGTAAATATTAAAGATCTCTTACTATAATTTGTTATTAGATAGAGAGTTTGAATATCGATCCTGAATAAATATTCAACCCAGAGCTTAAGAAAGGCTTCTACCCCGTCAATTCTTTTCGAGCTTAAGATTATGGTTAGGATTAGTAAGTACTATTATAATGAAAATTAGATATAAGCGTTGCTTCAAGATATATTCAAATGTATCAAATAATTCTCTGGTAAAAGAGATTAAAATTAAGGCACAAAAAGGAGTTAAGCAGAAAGTTAAACTTATAGCTGAGATATTTCAAATTTTAAACGCTTCCTAGTTAACAAGTATTCTAATAGGATTTTAGCATGAACTATATTTAACCCATAAGTAAAACTTATCCAGTAATATTTATCGCATACCTATATTCTCTAAGAAGATTAATATTAATAGAAGCTCTAGTGGTAATTGATAATTCTTAAGTCAGCTGCAGGAATCAGAAGATTTTTAGTAAACATTTCTTGAAACTCTTTTTGCAGATGGCCGCATTGAAGTCTCCCGCGAGGGCAAATACCTATCGACACTGTCTGGCGCGAAGGTGCTGGGCGAATTGGCCATACTCTATAACTGCAAGCGGACGGCTACCATTACGGCCATAACGGAGTGCAATCTGTGGGCCATTGATCGGCAATGCTTCCAGACGATTATGATGCGTACGGGCCTCATAAGGCAGGCGGAATACACGGACTTCCTCAAGAGGTAAGCAGCTGGCATTTTCAGATTCCCTTAACTGCCTCACTTCCACATGCCACATGCCACATACCACTGGCCAATGGCCAATGGCCAATTTTGTGAGTCGCCAACAAAAATTTGTTGCTTTAATGAGGTTTTGCAATTTCATTGCCTTGAAGATTTATGCGGCAGCCATTAGCGATCGCTGTAGTTGTTGTTGCTGTTGCTGTTACTACAATTTGCTGTAATTAATGTACATTTGCACTTAATTATATCAATTCCGTCAAGCCGCATGTATGGCCATTAAGTCAAAAAATTCATTTAAGCTGAAGGATTTTTTTGTATTCAATCTTAAGTCTTTTTTTGCGTGCCGCTGTGTTTGGCGTCAAAACTTTCACCACCAACGGCCGCGCAAATACTCAAGACTTCGTACATACTTGCACAAACATATAGACGACATATATGTATGTACACATGTGTATGCTCAAATATAGACAACTTCAGTTGGCATCAGTTAGCGTCATAGCCAACGCTATCGTCATCGTCATGGGCGGCTATGCCGCAGTGACGTGCAACGCTCAAAATTGGACAGCCAGGCGGGCAGAGAGACAGACAGACAGACACGGACACACATCTGTGCGGCCAACAACCGCATAGAAATTTCTTTCTTTAAAATGCCCACAAAGCGGCCAAGTCATAGACACCATTAGTAACCAGTTTTGTGCAGCCAGCGCGAGCGACTAACAAATTAATCGCATTTAATTGCCAGCTTGCAGGGTGCAGTGCCTCCCAAACTGTAATGCATTTTCGCGCCGCCGCTCTACCATTAGGAGTCGAAGTGAGCGCATTTTCCAAAACACGACCATGAAATAGCAAAAAATTGAAAAACAAAGTGCTGTTTAGGAAAATATTAAAAGCTGCATCGAATGATGGAAACGAAAATGAAAGTGCAAATTGTGGAAAAGGAGCTGACGAGGGCCGGCCCGAGCAATTGAGGCGTGTAATGAGTTGCATTTGCCGTTTAAAGTCTTATATATGTATGATAAGTAATGAGTGGAAGACAAATGCGAATATGACGACTATAGTATAGGTTCAACTTTCTTTCCATACGTCAAGCTCATGATTTTCACACTTCAGTTGATTTTTAAGAAAGTGCCAAAAAGCTGAGCCAAAAAGTGTGAACTCGTCGGCCAGATGTTTAACAAAACATGAATCTCTCATTAGCGAGCAGTTAAATGGATTGTTCGAAAAAGTTTTATTTGTTTCAATGTCGCCCTTCACATATAGTACTATATCTGTTCCATTTATACAAGTATGTATTTAATTGCACAATTTTTGTTGTTGGTAACATTTTAATATAATCCACAAAAATGTCAATTCTGCGGCTGCGAACCCAACCGAAACAAAAGAAGATATAGTCATGAGAAAGGTTAGCTGCTGAAGAAAGGATGCTGGAAAACATTGTTAGAAAAGCTAGCTTGAAAAATTAGCAGAGAAATCGAGAAAAGATTGTTTGATTTCAGCAAGAGAAATTTAGCGCGATATAGAGAAAATTTCACTTACCTCGCAAGCACTTTATATTTATATTTTTAAAACATTTAATCAGAAATGATTAATAATAAAATAATAATAATAATAGAAACCAAAATTATAGTTTTCATAAATCATAAAAACTTGTAATTTAATTTAAAATAAAAAAGTTCTTCGCCAAATACTAGTGTGGTTACGTTTCCAACCCGCTACTGTCTAAGGCAGACTTAAGGCTAAATAAACAAAACTGTAAGACGTTAGCTGTGGATTTTTCGCTTCTCAGTCAATATGCCCTTTATAGTGATAGAGTAAATATAGCTTTTTGACAGCCAAAACTGTTAAAGGGGGCGTGGCAATTAATCAGGCACTTTTTTTTATCAAATACTGCCATCTAACACTCTTTGAACATGGATTGTCTCTTCAGGAAAAAGTTCGTTTAACACTAAATGGGTTGAGTGTTAAAATCTCTTCTTTATCTGATTCCTTATCGTTTAATATGTCCCATAAGCAAGCGCTTCGAGTCTGATCTGTATGCTAGATAAGAAAAGCTCTATTAGCGCCATTTAAGAGTTTACAATCCTTTCTTCCCCAACAGGAAGAGTATGAAATCGATTATGTAGACAAACTATAAACATTTGGGAATAAATAAAAAAGAGTTTTGTTAATGACTTATTTATGATTTCAAATCTTTTCGATGCAACGTTGGAATCCAGAAATGTAATGAAAAAGAGTGCTTTAATTGTTTCGAAATCGAAATATATTGAATCTTCTTTAATAAATACTTGTAGTCTGCAACCAAATGTTGAAGAAAGGTACAGATTTATTTTGCAGATTTATTTGAAATGTTTCTAAATATTATATATACTTATATTAAACGATCAGATGCGCAAATAATTTCCTAGACATTCGTAAAATTAATTAATTGAAGAATGTCAGGAAGTTAGCTTTATTGATTGATTTATGAAGTTTCTGTTTGCAGATTATTTGCCGCCTAACCACAGCATAGGTTCACATAAAAATAAAAAAAAAACCATTATAAGAGAATATGAATATGAAATAATCTAATGAAGATCAAGAACCTCTCATTTCTTATTCATTCTTCAGCTTACACAATTAGCTTAATTTTTTTACACATTTTGCTTTAAAAGGTGTGAGTTCTTTTAATTCCATCGAGATTCATCTCAAACAGCGCATTGAATAGAGTTTCGATCCGCTTCTTCCAGAAAGTATGAATCCATATTGCAGAATCTGCAATTAAACCAATCTTACCAAGTTGTGCTTTCCAAACGCAGAAGAGTTTAGCTGCCTTACCAATAACTGAACAAACTCTCTTAACTAGAATAAATATCCTATGAACATTGACATATTCGTCCTGCTTTTACAGCGTGCCAATCTTCAAGGATCTGCCCGAAGACACGCTCATCAAAATCTCCGATGTGCTCGAGGAGACACACTACCAGCGCGGGGACTACATTGTGCGCCAAGGGGCCCGAGGCGACACCTTCTTCATCATATCCAAGGGCAAGGTGCGTGTAACCATCAAGCAGCAGGATACTCAGGAGGAGAAATTCATACGCATGCTGAGCAAGGGAGACTTCTTTGGCGAAAAAGCGCTTCAGGGGTAAGTTTCAGATCCCATTAATATTGGAAAACCCCAACTAACATCTGTGATCGAATTTCAGTGAGGATCTGCGCACTGCCAACATTATTTGCGAGTCTCCGGAGGGCGTCACCTGTCTGGTCATCGATCGTGAGACCTTCAATCAGTTGATTTCGAACCTGGATGAGATTAAGCACAGCTACGATGATGAGGGCGCCTTGGAGCGCAGCAAGTAAGTAGAAGCTAGAAGACTTGTGAAATCTTTAAGAACCTACTTGTATAATCTTATGCTCCTGCCTCCCAATAGAATCAACGAGGAATACCGTGATCTCAATCTCACGGATCTGCGTGTGATTGCCACACTCGGTGTTGGTGGCTTTGGACGCGTCGAACTGGTCCAAATCAATGGCGACAACTCGCGCTCCTTTGCGCTGAAGCAGATGAAGAAGTCGCAGATTGTGGAGACGCGTCAGCAGCAGCACATTATGTCCGAGAAGGAAATTATGGGCGAGGCCAACAGCCAGTTCATAGTCAAGCTCTTCAAGACCTTCAAGGACAAGAAGTACTTGTACATGCTCATGGAGAGTTGTCTGGGTGGCGAATTGTGGACCATTCTGCGCGACAAGGGGAACTTCGACGATGGAACCACACGTTTCTACACCGCCTGTGTGGTCGAGGCCTTCGACTATCTGCACTCGCGCAACATCATCTATCGAGATCTGAAGCCCGAGAATTTGCTGCTGGACGAGAAGGGCTACGTGAAGTTGGTGGACTTTGGCTTTGCCAAGAAACTGCAAACTGGTCGCAAGACCTGGACTTTCTGCGGCACGCCCGAGTATGTGGCGCCCGAAGTGATATTGAATCGTGGTCATGATATTAGCGCCGATTACTGGTCATTGGGTGTGCTCATGTTTGAGCTTCTGACGGGTAAGTGGCGCAACGAACTCTTTGGAAAAACCCCTCCATCTATTTACGGCTCTTCCTACAGGCACGCCACCCTTCACGGGCTCCGACCCCATGCGCACCTACAACATTATACTTAAGGGCATCGACGCCATTGAATTTCCACGCAACATTACGCGCAACGCCAGCAACTTGATCAAGAAATTGTGTCGCGATAATCCCGCTGAGCGCTTGGGCTACCAACGTGGCGGCATTAGCGAGATCCAGAAGCACAAGTGAGTAGATCTTATAGCCGAGACAGACTTTGAATGGATACCTCCCCATAACTATTTCCATATTACGTTTAACAGACATTTAGAGCAGATAGAAAGTAGAAGATAGTTTGTATTAACAATACAAATACTTGTACTTTCTTAGGAATTCCATTAAACAAGTTTAGAAGAAAACATAAATTGAAATATTTCGTCGCATTTCAAATAAAAACTAAGAACTTTCGCAGATAAATCTTTCTTTTGGAGCCAAAAAAACCAGTTTGATCAAATTATTTAGGTTTTAAACTATTCCGAGGCAATTGTAAAGAGGGAATATACTTGTACATATATAGTTAGATATATAGTTGTCTTGATAACGTAATTCAGCTTTTAAATATTGTCTAGTCCCTATGGAAGCATTTTGTTAACAATTTGGAACTGGTTTAGACAGGTAAAGTCAAGCCTCTAACAATTGCCCTTAAGATATGATCAACTTTATAAACCACTTTACACAATCTCAAAAGGATATATACTAATTAAAAAATCGCTTTTACAGATGGTTTGATGGCTTCTACTGGTGGGGACTGCAGAATCGTTCGCTGGAACCGCCCATCAAGCCGACGGTTAAGAGCGTCGTGGATACTGCCAACTTTGACGACTATCCTCCCGATCCGGAGGGACCGCCGCCGGACGATGTCACTGGCTGGGACAAGGACTTCTAATGCTCTCTAACTCGTATGTCTCTCAATACGTACGAAATCGGGACAAACAAGCAACGAAATAGTGCGCCATATGTACGCCAAAGTAACAGTCAGCAGCGTAGAGCTGCCAAAACAGCCGGAGTAGCCAGGGTAGCCACAGTGGAAGCAGAAAAATCATCGCTCGATTAGCGCCTATCGAACTACTACTTGACACTTGAGACTTAGGGTCCTCATCATTGTTTACACCACACTTATTAATCGATCACACACATCGCGGCAGCTAAAAACACGCTCACCAGTTCATCCACAGTTCTCTTGATATCATTTAATGTGCAACACAATGAATTTATTAACGAGTTTATAACTATTATTATTATGTAAAGAGATGTTTCTAGTTCATTTTTAAAATTGATATAACGTTTAAGTAGCGGCCCGCTCGCAGGGCTCTTTTATCAACATGAATTGAAACGTCATTATGTACATTTTCTGTATGTTTGTAATTATAAAATAACTACTATTATTATTATTATTTTTATTATTATCCGTTGTTAATCTACTAGTGTCCTTAAGCGCGCAAACATAAAACTAAAAGAAATATACACACAAATATGGGGTTGCCTTATAGGTTTTAAGCAAACATTTTTATGCAACATATGACCACGGAACCTTAAAGCTTCCTAACCGCCCACTCTATCGCATATTCACATTAATCTCCGATGTCTCCAAATTTATATTCATACCTACACACATCTATGCTATAAGGATTTACAATCATGCTTAAAATTATGTATACCTATGCTCTTCAAATTGTTGTCTTAAGTAATTGAGTTAGAAATTAATAAATACAACTTTATGATCTTAAATTACGAAATTATATATCATTTCTTAAAAGTGTACTGTTTTTATTTAAAAATAAGCTTGTGGAATTAACTAATTAATTTTATATAATTATAGTGCATAAAAATTGTCCGGATGTGACCTCTTCAGTCTCCTCCTCACACGCCCCATGGACTGCGCAGCTAGCTCGATAAGGAAGTCACCAACTTGGATACTCCTTGGCCCTTTTCGATATTAACGGCTCTCATATACCAGGCAGAATTGCTTGCAGAATCCCAATTTTCCCTAGATGGGATTTTGTAACGATTCTGTAAATCTGCAAACCATATCTCCGGGCAGAAGCAATAAAGGATAAATTGAGTGGGCGCAGCAGCGCTTGTATCCTTGTTTATAAGCCACAGACTAGGTGTCTTGAAAAGATGTTCGAAAAGCGATTATACTAATTAATATTAAAATAAGTTTTAAATTTTATGTAAATACCAATTAAATTATATGTAAATACCAAAAGGAGCTGTGTTTATCCTTTATCCATAAAATTATCACTTACCATAAGGCAAATATTTTATAGTTTTTTTAAATTTCAAATAAAACAACTTTTAAAATATAAAAACCCATCTCTTTTTTATTTATTTGCTGCAGGAAGCAGGATCTGATCCTAATCCTTCAATTTCAGGCAATCATAAATCAGCAGCAAATCATAAAAAGTGTCCTTTTTCATTTGTATTTAGTAGCACCGCTGCAAACTTATTTATCTATTTATTTTTTATTTATTATTATTATTTGGTTTGGAACCCGGTTTGAAACCGGCAGCAGTTTAAAGAAAATTTTTAATTTAAAAAAATCATCTTGCTGCTGGTTTATGTTCGCCTATTACTTCAGATTTTAAATTTTAGCATTTGCAGGCGTTTTGATAAATTTGTTGAAAGACGCAGCTGGCCTCGGTTTTAGTTTGCAAACTGGCTTCTTTGCTAGGTACCAGGCGAACATAATGCAGCAGCAAGCTGCTGCTTTAACAAATTTAAAAATTAAATTAAGCCAGGTTTCAAACCATTTTGCAGCCGGGCTTTAAACCAATTAGGTAAATTGGTTGCAAGTCTGGCTACTATGGTGTGAAACCCGGCTTACATTTAAGAAGTGTAGCATACTTTTAGGCAGTTGAATTTAATTTAAAAATTTTTGAAAAAATTCATCTTGCTGCTGGTTTCTGTTCACCTGGTACTTCAGATTTTGATTTTTAGCAAACCGGTCGTTTTGGCCATCGGCCAAACTTTCTATAAACACCCTCTTCTCCCCCTCACACACAACAATAAAAAATTCATTACAAATTCATTTTTAGGCACTTTTATTTCCAATTATTTACAAATCAATAATTATTGTTATTATTAATGTAAATGTAATACCCACATAGAAAAAGTTAAAGATAGGAAATAAAATAAACACAAAAAAGGACATCCATATATTATTATTATAAATTTTATTGTTATAATAATAAAAATAATTTGTTCGTTCTGCGTCTCGTGGCTTAAACTTTCGATTGCCATTCTTCCACATCCATTATCATGAATCCATATATATTTAAATAAATACATACATATACATTTTATTATTATTATTATAATAATTAATTTGACTATTATTATAATATAAGTAATCCCTTCGTTTTGCTCCTTTCGTTTGCCATTCTAATCAAGTCGACTTCTCCTGCAGTTGTCTAATCGCAGGATTTTCCTTGGTGTTGTGTTCTTCCTTCGAAGAAAAATGATTGTCGGTGCGCCATTGTTTCGCTCTTAACTTTTCTTAGAATAGACCGAATTGGATAAAATTTGAAACAAGAGTAGATATTTATATATACAAGTATATTTTCATCCAGACGTTCATCCAGACGTTCATCCAGACGTTCATCCAGACGGATCATTTCTCCCGTCGGGCTGATTCAGAATATATGTATATAGTACTATTTTATGGGGTTGGCGATGCTTCCTTCTGCCTGTTACATACTTGGCACAAACCCAATATGCCTTTTTTACCCTACAGTACAGAGTATAAAAACTTGTAAACTACTTTCTTGTCGACTACTTAAAACGGTAGTAAGCACTCTTATTGCTTATTTCCGAGCTGTGCTTCCTGCATTTGAGTGGCGCGAAGCTCACGTTTGCACTCAAACGTCTTCAATAGAATGCAGTTTCACTGCTCGAGTAGCTGGCAAAAAGAAAAGCCCTAAGCTGAGCTGTAAAATTAAAACGAATTTCATTAAAAACAAAACTCAACTACGTGCGCATCCAGACTAAAAACAAAAATACAAAATGTGTGCCAAGAGGGCTGAGAAAATAGTGTCAATTCGCTTGGGAACATTCTATATGAAACGTTCGTGCGCGTCTGACGTTAAGTTGCTTCTTGTTCTTCTGGTCGAGCGCAAGAAACAAGAAACAAAATACTATTTCGCAGAGTCAGCGTACAAGCTGCACAAATAAAGAGCGACAACGCAAACGGGGGAAACAATACCAATTTTTGCACTCCACAGGTAATACATTTGTTAAATGAAATTAGCCAGCGATGCGACTGCTACGATGGGAGCACCTTTGGCTGCTGCCGCTTCTCCTGCTTCATGCCACTTGCGTGCTGGGCTTGCGCTTGAACTCGAAAGCTGCAGCGGTGTTGGAGAATCAAACGCAGCAAGTGATTGGTGGGTGGCACTAACCGATTTTATAAATACGAGCATATAGATAATGTCGCAAAGTACCTCTTCACTCTGCAGCCTGCAGTCAGCCGAAGGCGCCGGGCTTGTGTCGAGGACGTCAGTTGCGTTATGCCTACAACAAGGACACGGGCAACTGTGAGAGCTTCTACTACACCGGCTGTGCCTCCACGAAGAACAATTTCCTGACCTTTGAGGAATGCCGACGTGATTGCATGCAACGCCTGCGCTACTAGAATACGATTTAAAAATCAATTACAATTAGAGTGCAGCACGCACGTAATAAGCTAAGCTAAGCTATGCATTAAGTAATAAGATCTGTATATTTATTTACCTTTGTTCCATTGACTTTCAGCACAAATTATAGTGTAATATATATATATTTTAAATATAGGCACGCACACTTCAGGCCCGCTTCGACTTGCGTTTTTGTTGCTGTGTGCTCTGCTTCTTGCAGCCACACGTCCAGCGGCAACTATAAACGAGCAACAGCGGCGCCAACACCAATACGGTCAGCAGCAGAAAAATGCTATCCAATGAATTGTAGACAAACCAATTCAGCTCTACGCCTGGGGAGCGCAACAGTTCGGCTCCAAAGAGTCCGTGCTCCATTACATGCTCCAGCGCCCAAATGGCGGTCTCCAATGGTGTGCGTTCCCGCTCATTGAAAATGTGCGCCAATTTCTGAGCACGTGTTGCAAAGCTATAAGACAAGTTATCTTATTATTTGGCCCAATAGTGATCTCTGCTGCAACAACTCTACCTGGGCTGCGATAGCTGCTGCAGCGCCTCTTGCAAATTCTCCACATTGATTTGGTCATAGTCCAGCTTTAAGCCAATGCCGCGATTTAGAACAGCGAACGCATTCACGAACTGATCGCCATAGATGGGGGTTACCAGCATCGGTTTGCCGCAATGCACGCCTTCGGTGGTGCCCAGCAGACCACCATGTGTCCAGAACAGCTTCACTTTGGGATGACCTGCAGAGTAATGCAGTTGACTTCGTTAAATGAATAGTTATGATAAATAAATGGGCTTTTTCATTTGCAAAACTTGTTCAAAATTGTCTAAATTGATTTGAAATTACGACACATTAATGTAAGTTATTAGTTCTATTAATTTAAAACAAGAATAAAATATAAACATAAAAAAAATCTACAATTTCGCAACGCACTTAAAATTTTTACTCACACAATATATCCAATTGGGGCGCCCATTTGATGAACAGAAACTGCTTCGCGTCTACCTGGGGCGTCTGATCCGTCTCCCATTTGCAGATAACACGCAGCGGTTGCTGCTGAAGCGCCTGCAGTATGTCAGCCAGCTTGTCGCCACCAATGCTGGAGGCACGCACCATGGAGCCCCAACTGATGTAGATGACGCCCAGCGGCGATTGTTGCAGAAATCTGGAGATAAGTTCGGGCAGTGGCTTGCTCTGCTTCTGGGATATGTGCACGCCCCCCACCTCCACGAGCTGGCGGGTGCGCGGGCGACTGCCCATCAACGTGTAGTGCTGGTTTACAAAGATGACGGCCGTCTGGGCATGCGCCACTGCCGCCACATCTACGTCGATGTTTAGGTAACGCTTCACTAGCGCGTTGTCCACACGATTCGAGTGATGGCGATAGAGAAGCTTCAGTAGCTTGGCCTGCACAAAGTTTAGCAAACGTTCGTGCCACTTGAGTGGCTGCGCAAAGCCGACGAACTCCGACTGCACAAATGCGGGCGTATCAGGCAGGTCGATGCGATCGTAGTAGAATGGCATCAGAGTACACGTGCTGAGGGCTACGATCGGCAGCTGAAGTTGCTGCGCAATTGCCAGTTGGCAGTCGGCATTGAAGTACTCGGTGAAGAGTACGTCGTAGGGCTGTTCCTGGCGATGTCGTTGCAGCACCTTTTCAACATGGCCGCTGGCAAAGAGCAGCTCACAAGTATGCTGACCCTCCACGTGCAGGTCCCAGTACTCTTTGAGCAGTATGGGAAGCGAGCGTGTGGGCGTGTGTTCCGTCAATGGCACCACATTGATTGTCGTATTCGTCTGATCCTCGTCCAAGGGCGAGATCAGCAACTGCTCGTAGTTCTCGTGCAAGTTCTGATTCTTCACATACGATATGACCGTCACCTTGTGTCCCGCAGCCGCCAACGCGTCCAAGATGGGCTGCACAACCTTAAAGTGGCTGAATCCGAAGTGCGGAAACACGGCCAACACATTGCCAGCTTGCACTTTTTGCTGGCCAGCAGTCACGAGTATAAACAATAACCTAATTAACGTGCAAGTTCTCAGCAGCGTCGTCATCGTTCTGCTGCGCGTCAACGAATGCGCCGACTGTAGACATGGTTATCTAACTTTCATGCCCTGCTGGTAGGTTAGTCTCATCAGGTCGTCTGATTATTTGTAAATTGCACATACAACATTGCACTAAAGTTTCTAGTCGATGCCACTGCAATTGAATGCAATTTATTAAGAGTGCGCAACAGCCCTGTCATGCTGGCTGCGCTCACAGCTGGCTGGTTAAAATTATCGATCGACTTGCAGTCTTGCGATGTGGGTGTAGGTGATATTGGCGCCATCTATGTGTAGAGATGTTGAAAGTGTTTGTAGTTTTTAATTGTAGCATACTTAGAGAAGCTACGTATTTTATTATTTTACAATTTAAATTGATGTGAATTGATTTCTAAATGTACGTATTCGGATTTTAGTAATTTAAAAATATACCATTTTATTAATTTTATAATTACATCTGTTGTTATTTTAATACATTTAAAAGTTATTGGTTTGTTAATGTGCACAAAAAAAAAGACAAATTACAATAAATTAAAAATAAATATTATGCTCTAGTGGTGTTTGCCTTTCATAATTTTATTGATATATTTTTAAATACATTATTAATTATTTTACGAAATGCTTAATTTAATTCGTGTCTTTGAATAACTCTCTTTAGCACATTTTATTACTTATTTGCCTCCCATATATTGGCTATAAATTTAACAATTCTATTTATAAGGCCTTCCATTTAGTAACAATCGTATCACGTTTTTAAACATATGTGTAATATATATATAAGAGTCAGTCGTTGGCCGATCCCTGGGGAGTAATTTTTGCAACTATTTGACAGATTTTTGAATCTTAAACTTAAATAGTACGTACGAAGAACTACAACTGTCACTGAATAAATGCAGATCATTTAAATAATTAACCTTTCATCGGCTTCCTTATAATTTTTATAATACTTTTGAATTAAAAAGTTCTTGTCACATTTATGTACACACGCTTTGTCAAGCTACCGCACCTTGCTTTGACTTAAAGACTAGTTCTTTATTGAAATAGGTTCACATTCAATATATTTTCATACTGCCTAATATTTTCTTAACAATAATTAAACTGTCGACGATAAATAAAGGTTGGATGAAGTAATCTTTTTACAATTAGTCTATGTTTATAGATAAATAATTAATGAATGCATAATACAACAATAATTATAATTAAGCCATTAATAAAACCATTATTTTTAATGTTTCGTATAATATTTTCGATTTACTTAAAATGGAAGGTGACATTTTCCTATTTTTGTAGATCTCAAGTGCTTTTGTCGCTCATTCCATTTACATCGATTTAAAGCACAGCTCTTAAGCAAAATAGAGCTACTTTCAATATCGACAATATCTGCCTGCTTTTACACACAACTATAAGTAGCTCTCAAGAATCTCTCGAATTAATATTTCAAGCACACACACAAAAGACACACACTCGCAACCACACATACTCTACGAGTATATAGCAGGAAAACAGACTCACACATGATAATGGACAGTAGTAAGCGTTAATTGAACCGCAAGCGATGGAGCGATAATAAATGTAATTGCAATTGGCATTGAAATGATGGCGTTGTCTGCAGCTGTCCGTCAAGTGCACTTCTCATTCGCATTGCAGTGCGGTTGCCCGATTGACAAACTGACAGAAGGACAGACAGACAGACAGACAGACAGGCAGAGGCCGAAGAGATTAGTAGCAGTAATTCGAAGTGCCTAAAGATGCCTACAGACACAGACGTCTGCACCCGACTGAGCACAAGTGGGCGTCGGTGTGGGCGTACATTCTGGTGCTGGTGCTGGTGCTAGTGCTAGTGCTGGCTCTGATTCTGGTGTTGGCGACCCACTTTCCCGATCCAAATTTCCAGTTGTTGCCACGACTGGGGCAACCAGCAGACTCGGTAAGTGGCAAGCGTCATAGTTCGATAACAAAGCGCACAACCATTAAGTGTGTGTTTTTTTAATATTTTTTGTTGTTAAGTGTTTTGATAAAAGAGCGATTGTAGGAATTATAAATAAATAGCAAACACTGAACGGCAATCATGGTACTCATGGGAACAATTGAGGCAAATGGTAGTTGTTAACGCCCCTAAGAAATACAATTTTTTGTTGAAAGAATTTATCAGAGTTCGAAACATATATTTGAATGTCCGTTCTACAGCTGGATAAATTTTAGTGCGTTCTGATTTCATGCGGCCTGGGAAAATCCATAACATGTTTCAAATACGCGGCTGCTGCTGCTGCTGACGTCAAAGGCAATTGGAGATTTGTGCCCCCTTCCCAATAGTCTGTCAGCCGAGAATCAATTGAAAACATCACGCACTGAGTCGCCTGTGTCCTTTTTATGATCGCCCCCTCCAGTGCGCCCATCATTGCGTTCATTGCCCGGCATTTGGCGCGTGTGTAAGTCCTTTTGTTTATAGACTGACCAGCTGAGCGCTGCAGGACCCAATTGATGGCCTGTTTGTGCAGATTTCAACATTTCGCAGTTATGATCCAATTTGATTCGTTTAAGGACACATACGATGCGCATTTGTTTGCTCATTTATCGCCGCCTGTTTGTCCAATTGATGTCCTCACAGTTGTATCCCTTGTCTGGTCCAAGCACTGCGCGTTAGCACATCCGAGTGCAGGATTAGTTGGCGGCAATAATGGGAGCTCAGAGATGGCACTTCAACTGTGACTAAGATTTTGGTGCCGCTAGGCAACTACTTATAGATGTGAGTTTACAAAGTCAAAAAATTATCTGTAAATAAAAAAAAAAAAATAATAATCTATAAATAAAATCTTTCACAACCAAATAACAACGCAATTTGTTGTATTAATTAACTCTTTAACAGCAGATCCGTCGGAAAAGCTAGAAGGACTACTCATCTTGTACTATGATTCAAAATCCAAGACTCATCTTTAAGACCTTCTTCATCTTCTGTAGGTAACAAAATCCGTTGGAGCAACAATAAAGTTGATTGCGAAGATTATGAAGAATTATTTGAAGATCTTGAAGATAACGAAGATGGCGAAAACGATGAAGATTGACTATCAGTGGATGTTTCCGGCGTCAGTTCACACAAGTTGGTTCGCAAAAGTTGTTTCATTTTCTGAATTCTTATTTTTTAAATATTCAAGTAACAATAAAGGAAATTCAGATAATTAGTGGCAAATTTTGATTATACTCTTTGAATTTTCAAAAATAAACAAAAATGTGATGTTCTGGACAAATGCGATAATCAGTGAATACTGCGATTCCCAAATAGCCACTCAAAACCACCAGAAGAGTTTGAAAAAGAGCTGAGGGGCAACTATCCAAGAATCTGATGCATTTCAATAGCATTATATGTGGACTTTTATAATGCTTCTAATGATCTATCGTGCTCTGAGTAATACCATGAAAGCTTCCAAGGAAACAAGATATTGGGTAGCTATTGAAATTAAAGGTTTCCCTTACTGTTTAGTTGAAATGCAAAAAGTTATTATCTACTTATCATACTTATTATTATCATTATTAAATATCCTCTCAATCTGATTTTCCGTGGGAAGATTTGTTGAGACGATATTTCTGAATTTATACACTCTTCAAAATATTTTTTGTGACTAATGCATTAATTTATAAGAGTGTTTCTTGTCGCACTAGGAAATAGTAATAATAAATAATAAATAAAATAAAATAAAATATTAAATATTTTTTAAAATAATTAAACGACCAACTGAAGTCAATTCTTTAATAGATAAAAGACTTTAATGAAATGTTATATGAACTTCAAATGAAGTAAACGCCGTTTAATAAAAAGCTGATATGTAAACATAGATAGCTAAGTATAAAAAAGTATAATTTTAAAGATGTTATATTTTATTTTATAACATTTAGAATTTACTTTAAAATTGTCTGAATGGAGTACAAAAAGGATTCGAGCTATTTCAGAGTCTTTAAAGATATAGATCGCTAATACAATTAAAGTTTTGCGCCCATTTTATTTATATTCTATTACAACATAGGCAGATATATAATATTGGAGCGATTGGAAAAGTTAGCTAATTTTCCATTTGCACTAACTCTCGAAGCTTCTATATGCAATACCAGGAAGTATTTACTTATATTCGCAATTGACGTAAGTTGCATCACAAGTAGTCTAATTTAAATCTCAAGCACTACTTCAAGATGAGTTCGTGCGCTAACCATATCTTTTCATATTATGCCACAACTGTGCCATAATGGTCGTGAAACTATCGCCCATCCCTAAGCTGAAGGGGACATCCAGCTGTCCATAAGAAAGCGCCGCTTTGGCAGCTGAATGGGAGAGATGGAGAGAGTGGAGGGAGCGGAGACAAATCCAATTAACGTCTGACCAAACAAAGTTGGCATTAGCCAGCCCGGCCGTTTTATTATTGGACTCGTGTCGCTGTCCGTCTCTGTCCACAGACCTGCCATGACGAGTAGCCGGCCGGGCGGCCAGAGTGTCTGTGTGGAGTGTCGGTGACAAAGGCGGACGACGATAGCTAAAGAAATCTCGAGTGTAGTCTGGTTTCTGCATCGGGCTGTGGTTTGGAGCTGCAGTTTCCTGTGATTACGCGACGGTTGCTCACTCAAGTGGCGGCGAGGGCATTAACTTGGCCAACACACGCTACTCGAATTCGGCCACCTGAAGTGGCAACTTGCTGACGTTGCGACTGCTTAGTGGCTGGCTGGCTGGCTGGCACTCTAGTGGCAACTACTTGCGCGCAGCTGATATAATTGAGCCATAGATTTATTTGGACTCTGCGATAGTATGTTATCAAAGCACAATTGCCGTCCACAATTTGGCACGGCATGTGTTTCCCTGTGAAGTACATCGAAATCCGCACACACACATATGTACATATACTTGTATACTAAATGAGAGATAGTGGAGGCCATAAGTGGGCGTTGATTATTCCAAAAGCCAGCCAATGCCAGCACTAATGCTCATGTACACCTTAAATAAATACGACTATTAATGGATTGTGTAGTGCATATGTAAATAAAAGTCTTGTTCTGGAGAGTGCCGTTTTTTATTTACAAACTGCCAAGTTATTGCTGTGTTTATTCCTTTATTAGTGCTTTTCGTCGGCTCTT